TTTCAATCAATCAATCAAAGTTTATTTGTAGAGCGCCTTTCATACACAGGGCAACACAAAGCGCTTCACAGTCCACATCACAAATCATCACATAAAACAAACACCAGAATCACAATTAAAACATTAAAATCACACAAAAGATTAAAACACAATTAAAACATTAAAATCACACAAAAGAATAAAACCATTAAAACTTTCAAAATTACACAAGAAATTTAAAAAAATAAATAAATGACAGCAGTGCATTAGAAATGGAGATAAAATCCTTCAGTTGTATGCACAGGCAAACAGAACAGTCTTTAACCTGGATTTGAACATTGACTGAGTAGACGCCTCCCTCACATTTTCAGGGAGACTGTTCCAGATCCTAGCTGCATAGATCTGAAACGCAGCCTCCCCATGTTTGGTTCTCACTCTGGGCACCAGCAGGAGGCCAGTCCCTGTGCTCCTCAGAGTCCGGGCCGGTTCATATGACACCAACATGTCACTAATGTATTCTGGTGCAAGGCCATGGAGAGACTTGTACACAAGCAGAGCTGTTTTAAAATCTATTCTTTGAGCCACAGGAAGCCAGTGCAGAGACCTGAGGACCGGACTAATATGGTCATACTTCCTGGTTCCTGTCAGGACTCTAGCTGCTGCATTTTGGATGTACTGCAGCTGCTTACAGGTCTGTTTGGACAGACCTGTAAGCAGGCCATTGCAGTAGTCTAGCCTGCTGGAGACAAATGCATGGACAAGAATCTCCAAGTCTGCCCTGGACACTATATTTCTAACTTTGGCAATGTTCTTCAGATGGTAAAAAGCTGTTGATGTTATTGATTTTATCAATCAATCAATCAACGTTTATTTGTAGAGCGCCTTTCCTACACAAGGCAACGCAAAGCGCTTCACATCCCCTATCACATCATGCATAAATCAAACACATTAAGAGCACAAGATATATTAAAAACATTAAAAATAAAATCACAAAAATTAAAAACCTTTAAACATTAAAATCACAGATGGGACTAAAATCATAAATAGTCACAGTGCATTAAAAAGATTAAAGATAAAAACAAAGATGAAAAGATAAAATCATTCAGTTGTATATGCGCAGCTAAACAGAATTGTTTTGAGCCTAGATTTAAAAGATGCCAGAGTAGACGCCTGTCTCACATTCTCAGGAAGACGGTTCCAGACTCTAGCCGCATGAATCTGAAATGCAGTTTGCCCATGTCTAGTACCGACTCTGGGCACTAACAGGAGTCCAGTCCCTGTGCTCCTCAGAGTCCGGGCTGGTTCATATGGCACAAACATGTCATGGATGTACCTTGGCGCGAGACCATGGAGAGACTTGTACACAAGTAAAGCTGCTTTGAAGTCTATTCTCTGAGGAACAGGAAGCCAGTGCAGAGACCTGAGAACTGGACTAATGTGGTCGTACTTCCTAGTTCTGGTCAGGACTCGAGCTGCTGCATGTTGAATGTACTGCAGCTGTTTTACAGCCTGTTTGGACAGACCTGTGAGCAGGCCATTGCAATAGTCTAACCGACTGGAGACAAAAGCGTGTATAAGAGTCTCCAAGTCTGCCTTAGACACTATGTTTTTAATTTTAGCAATGTTCTTTAGGTGGTAATAAGCTGCTGATGTTACAGATTTTATGTGGCTTTTGAAATTTAAGTCTGAGTCCATTATCACTCCTAGATTTCTGACCTGATTTGAGGGTTGTAGAGAGAGAGCCTGGAGGTGACAAATAACGCTCTCTCTTTGTTTCTGGGGTCCGAAAACAATTATTTCAGTTTTGTCGGTGTTTAGTTGGAGAAAGTTATTTTGCATCCAATCACCGATTTGCTGGACACAGTGAAGGAGCGAGTCCACTGGTTCATGCTCTCCTGCTGTCAGGGACACATAGACCTGAGTATCGTCAGCGTAATTGTGATAAGAGACATTATTACTGTGAATCAACTGACCTAGAGGCAACATGTAAATATTAAACAGAAGAGGACCCAGGATTGACCCCTGTGGCACTCCGCAGGTCAGGGCCAAGTGGTCTGAGGTACAGTTTTCGATCTCCACAAAAAACTTTCTGTCTTGTAAATAGGACCTAAACCAGCTTAGGGCGGTGCCAGCAACACCAACCCAGTCCTCAAGTCTCTGAATGAGGATGTCATGATCAATAGTGTCAAAAGCAGCACTTAAATCTAACAGAAAAAGGACTGAGACTTTTCCTGCGTCAGTGTTTAGTTTGATGTCATTTGTTACCTTTATTAGCGCGGTCTCAGTGCTGTGGTGGGGTCTAAACCCTGACTGGAACATATCATAAGCGTTATTGATTATTAAAAATTCTGTAAGTTGTTTATAGGCAACTTTTTCTAGAATTTTTCCCATGAAAGGCAGATTTGAAATGGGCCGATAATTTTTGAGTGCCAGGGCTTCCAGACTCCTCTTTTTTAGGAGGGGCCTGATGACCGCCGTTTTCAAGGCCATTGGGAATGTTCCAGATTCAAGAGACATATTAACTATTTGTGTAAGTGAAGGTAAAAGACTGCTCAGAACTGACTTGAGAAATCTAGGAGGTAATACATCCAGGCTGCATGTGGAGGAACTCAGACTAGTGATTATCTCCTGGACAGTTTCAATTTGTACTGGTGTAAAGTGCGTCAGCCCAAAAAGCCTCACTGGCGGTTGGATTATTATTTCTATCGTGGAGGTGATGGCGTTTTTGATACCTTGGACTTTGTCATACTCATTGTGTCCCATTGACGCACAAATACGTCAAAGCAAATAGTAACCAATAACCAGTAACCAAATAGTGCCATTGACGGATTAATCCGTCAATTGCCTTTTTCGCTATTTTCACGTTCCCAGATGTCTATTGTATCTAATATGTATGGGGATGACTTGAGACCATATTTTATCGAGCCAGCAGGTGGCAGCATTGCTCTCTGAATGGTTTGAAAACATGTAGGTGCACATGTTGTGCCTCTTTTTTCTCAACTTTCTGGTGATTTCTGGTGATTTCAGTAAAACTTCCCTCTACTCGACGGAGGATTACAGGGGAACGAAAAAAGCTATAAACAAAATTCTTTTTGCTGAGGAAAGTAGACAGTCCATTCTTTTAGAATCTGGTGTTGGATTTCAGATAGTCATAGTACACAATATTCTGTGGGTCTTGAAAAATCAGTAAAAATCATCAGAAATTGCTGGCACTGTGGGAGTACCTGTTCTGAAATAGGCTGGCATTCAATGAGTTAAAGAACTGAGCAAACTCATTACATTTAGATTTGGAAGTAAGTTCTGATGGCATCTTAACAGGGGGATTCGTCAATCTATTTACTGTTGAAAACAGAACACGTAGATTGTTGCTACAGCCTTCAATAGTTTCAGAAAAGTACATTTCCCTCGTTCTACGTAGTTCCCTGTTAAAATTGCACAACGCATCTTTGAAGATCTCATGGTCAACTTTGAGATTTGACTTTCGCCACTTCCGCTCGGCCTTCCGGCACTCTCTCTTCTGTGCCCTGACCGAGTCTGCTTTAGTCCATGGCGCTTTTTGCTTGTTTGTAACTATTTTAACCTTTACAGGAGCAATTGTATCCAGAACATTCAAAACAGTGGTGGTGACAGAATCAAGTAATTCATCTACAGTAACACACAACGTGTTCTCAAAGTTTACCCTCCCCATGAACAGTTCGCCTGTATTATCATTTATGTGTCTTCTTCTAACAACCGAAGATTCAGCTGGTGGTTTACAATCAAGACACATGTCAAAAAATACACAGAAAGGATCAGACAGAGCAACATTGACCACATTTACATTTGAAATATTAACCCCCTTGGTAATTAACAGATCGAGAGTGTGTCCTCTGCTGTGGGTGGGGCCACTCACATGCTGAGTGAGACCAAAGGTTTCCAGCACAGAGCTCAGCTCTATTGCATATCTATCATTAGCATTATCTACATGTATATTGAAATCACCTACAATGACCAAACCATCAAAATCTGTGCACACAACTGAAAGCAACTCAGTGAAATGATCAGTGAAACTATGGCATGACTGTGGCGGCTTGTACACAACAATAATAAGAATGGAAGAAGATTTTTTTTGTTCTATTTTAAAAGAAACATACTCAAATGATGAAAATTTCCCAAGAGACACTCTATGGGAGACAATACGATCTTTAAAAACTGCTGCTATGGCCCCCCCCCCCTTTTATTTTCTCGAATTTCATGTTCAAATTTGAAATTTGGTGGTGAGGCTTCTATTAAAACTGCATCTCCTGTATTATGGTCAAGCCATGTTTCAGTCATAAACATAAAATCAAGATCATACGAACAGATAAAATTATTAATTAAAAATGATTTGTTGCATAGTGATCTGACATTAAGTAGAGCAAGGTTAAAATTAATATCAGTGTCAGTGGGTTTAGTTGATTGATTACAAAGAACTGGAATTACATTTCCAGAGTTGGACCGTCTAACTGCTGTCCTTCTTTTAAATTTGTGTTTATTCAAGTTAAAACACATTTCTGAGCTGGTGCGAGAAACACACACAGTCTCTATTGGTTTAAAAAGTGAACTCTGTTGTACTTTGTTAAGTTCCAGATGCATAACTGAGTCAGCACAGTTCAGTGGCAGGACTGTCGTTACACTGGGTGATTGGGACATGCTCATTTTCCATTAAAGGGTCTTGTTATTTTGGTTTGTCTTCAATTTGCATACCTTTTTGTATTCAAATGAAAGACTTTAATGCAGTTACTACAAAAACATGATTAGTATGGTGTAGGTGAATTGTAGAGGGACTACTACTTTAAATAAAAATGTAGTTAATGAATCTGAAACTATTTCTAATGTCAGTCTCTGTTTTGCAGGTTTTCAATGTGGAGGTGCAAGGAGTGCCCTGAGACTGTTATCTACGAGGTATCTGTTGCTTAAACACTACAAATTGAAGCATTATCATTATGGATAAAGACACTCGTCTCCATGCACATACTGTGGATCAATACTCCAACAAACTAATGAAGGTGTTCAAGAAGAAAGGAGGAGCAGCAGGACGCAAAATAACAGATTATGGTGGCCCAGAAGAGGTGTGTTTTACATTGAAACCTTACTGGATAGTCAAATAAGTTTTACTTTCTATACAAACATAACAGAACATATTCTCATGAAAAATCTGAGCATTATTAAAGCTGCACTAACTGGCTTTATTTTTGTATTCATTACGAAAATGCTATCCATGTCCATGTGGTGCATTGGGATATACGTCCTTTTGAAGAAAAAGTAGCGCAGATTTGTGCTGGCGTGACATATTTTAGATCGAGTTTTGATGAAGCAAGGAAGAGAATGTGTTTCGGGTCGCAGATTGTGACCAATCACAGCGCACCACTGGCCCCCACTTTCGTGAGAAATCTACAGGTCCGTTAGCATAGACGGCTGAGTTAGCACAACAAGCGGCGGAGCTAATCTGAGACTTCGTCCTCGTCACCGGTTACTGCTTACACAACGAGACAGCCATCCAAAAGAAAGTCTCGTTCCTCTGCGCTTCCCGGTTCTATCGTTCTATGGTCACGCCATCCACGTGCAAATCCATGTCCATGTATTATCCATATTGGGAGATGCTAGCTCCGTCGACAACAGTGAATGTGTTTGGGGGGCGATAGCTTCGTGAGTGAGGGGAGGGGAGCAGAAAGAGCGAGGCCAGTGAGTCCGCGGCTTCAAAATCCCAAAGTCAGTTAGTGCAGCTTTAACCCAACATTCTGACTTTTCTCAATATATTTTTTGAAAAGGTAACACAAATATTACTGTATAACGAGAACACTTAATTGGTCTTTCACAGAAACCCAACATTGAAACAAGACTACTCTGCATCCTAAAGGCTCTGTGCGTGTACTTGAATGAAGCCCCCGAGGACCTGGTTAAGACCTACATGGTGAGTTATCACTTATTTCAGCACACCTTTGACATTGCTGATATCTATAAATACATTCAAATCATGTTGTCACGCAAATATCTCCAAGTCTAAATAGATGAAGAAAGTTGCATGGCTATTTCAAACCAATTTGTTAAACTAAAACCTGGGCTGTGTAAAATTAACTTTTAGGTAGAGAGGTTGCATTTTTTTATTTGCTGTATGCAGAACTAGATGTAATGATAAGAGTACAGTAAAAACAATAATAAACCTCTGCCACAAAGAAAAACATTTCAGTATGCGCAGTAATGCAGAAATTAGATGGTAAAGACCTGGGGACAGCCCAGAACAACGCACTCAGTTGGACTTGTCTCCTGCTCATTTTCCAGAGGGAGCAATGGGCTATAGCAATAGTTATATAAACAGGCCAGATTTGTCACCACCAACAAAACAAACTGATTTGTAATGTAGACACTGAAGAAAAATGCAACGGCGCAACTCATAGGCCTACCTTGCCCAGCCTCCAATGCCTATACATTGTATAATCGATATAAACAATGGTGACAAATGTTCTAATAAAGACCCCTTATGAGTGAGAATTCACTAAACAGGCTTGTAGGGATGAAGTACTATTGATATTTTAACATTCATACTTATTACTCATACCTAGTATTCATACTTTAAAATGTTCACTATGTGCATAGAGCCAATAATGCTAAGACCAAAATTCACATAAAGATAAATATCTACTTTATTATGGATAATTTACCTTAAATGATAATGAAACACAATTGCTAGTCTAACTTTTAAAGGAAAACTAAACACCAAAACAACTTTTTTTAAACTCATAAACTGCATGAATGTTTCTTTTTATAGTGCTCTTTATGTCCTGGTCCTGGTCTAGCTAAACAATAATCTTTAGTGTGTAAACAAGGATGGAATGAGAATTTCTGGTATGGAACTTTTGCTTTAATCCAGAATTGACAGCTGACAAGCAAGCAGTCAATCACAGCCCAGACCACACCCAAATCTAAGCCCCCTTCCTGTCCCCTGGTCCTGCGGGCAATGCCCTTTTTACAGAGAATTTTCAAATGTTCATGTGGTCGGAGTCAGGCTGGGCACAGGTGTTTAGTCGCACTTTAACCCACTCACCGTTGCACAAGATTTAGCAGTTGACTGCTGTGCAAAAGAGCGATGCTTTTTGGCATGGTAGTCAGAGCGTATGTACAATGGTTGTAGCATGCAACTACTGTAGCAGTGTGCGTTATTTTTGATTAAAATGTCACCATCTCACACCTTGTGCTTGATTTATAGGGTTTGATTTCAATATGGGAAAATATTAAATTGTAAATTGAAGCTTTCTATCTGCCATTCTTTTCTTTTAAGGATGCCGATGTTGGAGCAGAGAAGGAGTTTGAGAAAGTAGTGCTGGGTGTCTACATCGTGGAACATCAACATGCCGATGCATCAGACTCATTGGAGGACTTTGGAATAATCATCGATGGCATTGCAGTTCTTCAAGACCTAAAACACATTCCAACTGGATGGGCGCTCCTTCTTGGATTAATTACTGTCTGGACATGAACTCTCGAAAGGGACTCGGATGTACTTTTGAATTTATTCCAAAGGTATTAATGGAAGTGGACAGAAGAAAGCTCTCCAACAAAGTTCAAATTCTGAAAAACAAACTGCACGAACATATCTAATCAAGACTTAACTGTTTCAAAATGTGTTTGGACTATGTTTCATCAGTGGATATCACACCGTACATGCAACAGAGAAGAAATGGACGTTGTAGGCTGAAAAGACTCTTCGATATACATCCTGTACTATGTGTGTTGTGCTGTGCTCTTGAGACTAGCTTAAATGTACTCTTTTGAAAAAAGTATTCACAGATGGATGGACCTAGACACACAGACGGACAGGTACACAGAGTGGAGACAGAGGGCCAGGGACACATGATGGAGACGGACGGACAGGGACACAGACTGATGGAGACGGACAGACGGGGACACAGACTAATGGAGACGGACAGACTGATGGAGACAGACTGAAAGAGGGACCGGGACACAGACGGACAGACAGGGACGCAGATAGACGGATGGAGACACAGACGAACAGACTCAAACGGACCGACACTCACTTGCTCACTCACTCACTGCATGTTTTTGCATTGCTTCTTACTCCAGACGAGAATTTGGAAGTAGCTGTTAATTTCAAAGTTTAGTCCCAAATGTAAAAGTTAAAAGCAAATGTTTAGTTGGTCTACATACATTTGGTGGGTAGCTGTTAGGGTTTAGAAATTCTGTTGGCAGTCTTTAGCCAATTTTCAGAGTGAAAACATTAACTACACACAACCACTGTTATTATTTAAGGCATTTAATAGGCAGTTCCTAGTGCTCTGCAATGTGTATTTACATTCAAGTGTTTCACGAAAAGTTACTTTAATTTAAATATGGGATCATTTATGCACTTTACATTTTTAATTAATTGTATATTTTTTTATTTAAAATGTTTGAGTTGGTACATGTGTTAAATGGGTGGAGAGAAATTACCTGTTTAAATAAAAGCTTGAATATAAATAAGCACTTTATGTTGTATTTATTTAACTTAACAATGTAGCCATTACTAGTTTAGTTTTGTTGAATCAACACAAGCCCACTACATAAATATAATTAATTTCTGTTAAGTTGATCAAACTTAACCGTGTTTGGTTGAACCAATGTGAGATTAGTAAATCCAACATAATGTTGTTGGGCTTATACAATCTAACACTGTCATGTTACTGTAAAGTGAGAATGTTGAGTATACTTTATCTAACATCTGGTGTTCAAATTAATTGTGATTTGCATTTCCAATTTAAACAACACAGTTTCGTGGAACCGGTTGCCATAAAAAAGTTAAGTAAAGTCAACATTTCATTTCTTACAGTGTACACTGTTCCAGCCATTTCTGTGGAGCTTTTAATCTATTCCTAACTTTAGAAGTGCTAAATACTTTTTTTTCTAGCGAGAGATGTGAGTCACTAGGGATAATTATAATGTTTTTGGTTTTTTTATTGACGCTCAAAGATGCTTCACAATGCATTACTCATTCACTTCCATGGATAACTGGATCGTGTATAGCTGCTTAAGTCCCTGTTCAGTGGAGACTTTTCTCACACAAGGTTATATTCCCAGAAACCAAAGTGGGAACAACACTTATTTGGCTGCTCCAGCATCCAGTCCTATGTGTTCACCTATTTATTTTTTGTGACAGAGTGTGTGTTTGGGGTGGGTCTGTTGGGTGGTCGGGTTGACAGCTCAACGGGATTGTTTTTAACCAAACTGTACAGACCTTTGTATAGAGAGTGCTTTCAAATTGCGTTTTGCATTGCATTTGATTGATTGAGTTGTACATACCTGCACCTAGAGATAGAGTTGGTAATTTATTTGTTATTTCAGCATAACACATTGTAAACACATGTTGTGTTTTGTGTTTACTTTGAACAAGTAAAACAGCAATTTCAATCAAAAGAGCCTAAGCCTAAAGGTACTAAGAACATTGTTTTTTCCTAATTTTTTCTTGATTAATTCAATTCAATGCATTTCTTAATAGTTCTAATTCCCAACAGCAGTCGCTTTAAATTATCAGTCAAATATCAACATTAAAACAGATAAAGGCTTGATATATCTCACTTTGCATGTTCTGAGTCTGTCATTAAATGGTATACCTGAATATCATAAAGGTTTCAACTATATTTATCGACAAATCCAAAATAGAAACGAGACCTACCAGGAAATGCCAAATATGTGGACAATAAAGAGGTTAATTATCAGCCAAGTGGAAAACATGTCTCCCTGTCTGTTGCAATGGGCTTCATGTTTGAGCTGTGTGCCTGTGTGTACCTTATGATGTGTGCTAATGTTTAAAACATACCTTTGTAGAGCCGGCTGACCCTTTTAAATAAATGACAGCACCGCCATGAGAGCCGTCATCTCACTATTAGCTCCAACAGAGGGTCAAAAGCTCTAGAGACTTCACCACTGCAGATATACACACACGATCATTCACCGGCTAAATACCACGCAATTCATGCTAAATATTATCATTTGGCTTCTCTCTGTCACTCTACGGTCTCAGCAGGGCCCTGTTCAGAGGGGGTAGGACTCAAGCATGTTGTTGATATATAATACACTATATATATAGCACATTTCAAAAATAGTTTCCAAAAGCTGCACAGAATGATAAACTATATCGAACATCACAGTAATCACCAAGTCTTCATCAATAACATATAGTAACATTATAAATGAAATGTGTACAACATTAAAAGTATAAACATAAAAAACATATATAAACAATAATCTACTAATATATATGTAATATAATAGAAAATGAAACATTTTAAGAGAAAACCACACAACTCTCTTGGGGCTAAAATCTAGAGAATAAATTACTGTTTATATGTTTTGAGGTGTATGCCCCAAAAATCCCAAAAAACAGAATGTGTTCTTTGAGTTTGAACTGTTTGATTCTCTGATCTGTGTTGGTGATTTCAGCAGTGACAGATATCACCCATGTCACATAGCACCAGCCCCTAAAATTCTCAAAATTATATTATAAAAGATATTTGCATAATATTTGTTTCCTTATATTGTCTCACTTTTACCATTTGAATATTCCACCAAGTTCCTCTTCACCCAACACCTCTTCAGACCGAGCAGTGTTTGTGTCTGCTGCAGCCTCAGCACTCCGCCCACGGCTGCATGCATATCCAGTCTCGCTGCTCCCCGCCGGCCTTGCGTTGCCGCTCCGTTAGCCGCCAAAGCATGTCGGTGGCGGCGACAAGCGGCACGCAGCTTGTAACCTGCATGAATCCTCTTCAGTGTCCCGGCCCCAGTCCCCCGCGGACCTCCACGGCGTCCACAGCCTTCTCAAAGCCTGTGGTTGTGCCCGCCTTAAAGAGCTTGGTTAATGGAGGATTTATTTGTTGCAAAATGGGGACAATTTGAATGAGCGATCTGAAATGATGACAGGCAAAAGTGTTTATCTGAGATGCGGGTCGGCTGTGCGCGCTCAGAGAGGATGTGTTGCATATTAAAGGAGACATGTTATACACATCCTCCTGTGGACTCACCACCTGCAGAGGGTCAGTGAGGGGCTGGTGCTATGAGACTTGGGTGGCATCTCTGACTGCCACCCCCCTGACCCAGAAATGGATTAAAGGGTAGAAAATGGATGGATGGATGGATGTTATACACAATTGACTGTGTTGAGCTTCTAACCATCTTAATTCAATTCAATTAATCTTGTATGGTCCTAAATCACAGCAGTAGTTATCGTGGAGGACTTTGATTCGCCAACAGTCATCAGGGAATCAAACAGTTCAAACACAGGAAATGCAATGATGGGGGCAGATGTGACGGACACCAGAAAAAAACATGCCAACAGAACTATTTTGATTGCAAGGGACAAGTTTGATGGATTTTATTGCATCATAGGTACAAGTTTGTAGTGGTACACACTGGGGTAGTCTTGCACAGTTTTTGCAACGTGGTTTTACTGCAAATGGCAACAAATTCTTGTATATTGTATCATGTTTACATTTGTGTGGTTTGAAAGTTACGTTCCAGAGCTTTATTCTAACAAAAATCTCACCCTATAAAAAACATATATTGTGTTATAACACTATGGTTACCTATTGATTCCATTCCTCACATTCTAGTTATTTGGAGAATATTAGACAGACTGCAGCCTGGCTACATACAGTGAAGCTTTGGTGCCAGACATGAAAACACTTCAATGTCCAAAAGCAGACATTTTTATAGTGACACGCAGTGACTACGCAGTGACATCTGCGTAGGTGCTGGGACATCATCAATCATTCATTCTGACATTTGCTTTGATGTTCAGACATTTTCTCCTTTGGATCGACCCATACTATGACTGGATGTCTCAGCCAAAATCCAAGTATGAAATATTTTTGTCCATTTTGGATTTTTAAAACAGATCATGAGAATATTTGGTTTATCAAAAAATAATAATGAGCATTACCCCCATCTAGTGATAGAAGTGGTATATGACATTCAGCGCAGTACAAACCTACTGTAATTATTTGAAGACTTGGGGTTGTAAAGAACCTCATTTGTCTGTGGAAAACTACAAAACTAAATTTAAATATGCAATACAATTTAACACTAGGACCGCCGTGCTCTAAACATACCTTGCACCGCCCCCCGCGGTCAGTTGACCGCTATGTATTTTGCGCTGATACAGCCTTTTGCCGAATTGATTGTTCACTAAACCAGAACTTGATGTTGCAAGGAAATCGTGATCATAATGAAACTGTGTAAATTATTTGTCTAAATACGCTAAGTAATTGTAATTCTAGCCGAAATAAAAGGCTAAGATGACACATTGTGCGTGTACTGATCCATCAAAATGATGACCTTTCAGGGTAGATTTATTTTGTAACTTTGCAAACACCTAAAAGGTTGGTCACTATATGTTAAATTTGACTCAGTAACAATATGTAAATTCAAACAATATAAATGATAGTTTAGAAAAGGACGGGACCATAACGTCTTCGCGCTGCTATATGCGTCTACTTCTTACGTCATCTCCAGAATGTTTTCTCTTTCCAGCCGAAATCACCGTGGGAAATATTATCTAGATAATAATAATATTTGTATTGACACAAGATCATCAGCTAGGCTACCATCGTCAATGTAAAATCTTCAATTTTACACGGGACACGTTATATATATATATATATATATATATATATATATATATATTTGTATTTATTTGAGACAAGCAGTGCTCTTTATGATCAGAACAAAATTATAATCAATGCCTTGCAGTGTGCTCTGTGCAGAATAACACACAGTGTTATCTGGATGAAATAAGAATGATATCCTTATTGATATGATGAGGGCCGCTTCTGCCCCACAGCCGCTCTCCTCCTGCAGGTGTCCACGGGTGACGAGAGGCCTCACAGCGCTCTATCTGCACTCTGCCTTTATAGTTCATCTAATTGTTCTATTTTATTGCGATATTGTATTCTGCTTTATTGCCTTCTTCTATGTATAAATATAAGAATGTAATTGATGATGAATGAAAAGGCAGAATGGAGCGACAGCGCGCACACAGACACCTGCGTATGGCTGGCATTACGCACGCTCATGTGCGTTATTGCTTCTGGACTTGTTACAACACTGCTGTCCATGCCGTGAATGCACTAAGGGTTTACGTTCAGATTTAGAATATTATAGGTGTTCTCCCCGCTGTCACTTACCACCTCAAAATGTGACATCTCACCTCCGTAGACTGTTCTCATTCAATGTCTTTTCATACCGTGTTCTTGCAGCTCTATTCATTTTGTACTCCTCTCAATTCAAAACTCTTTCTCTCTCCCAAATAATAATTTAGAGTCTAATGAGAACATATTGATACATTTTTATAAGGCGCAAAAAAACCCCGGGAAAGGTTACTATGACAACAGTCGCCCTTCGCCATGTATCCCTATGGGGCAGCAGCAAGGGCTGTGGTTTAGAAAAGTTAAAATGCGTGTAAATCTTGTTTTCTTTACTTTTTCCAAAACCAAAATACACCAAAATATAAGCAACAAGTACCCAGTAAAAGTCATAAAATTTCAACTTGTGGCGTTTTGTTTTGAATACACTAATTAGCATATTAAAGTGAGTGACGGTCAGTTGACCGCTAGGGGCGCTCCTAGTGTTAAAGGTATATATATATAGGTGGATTTTCTACCGGGTGGATACAGTATTTTGAGAATACTCTTCCAGGAGATCACCAGAGTTTTTAAACAGCAGGAAACAACCTGCGTGGCCTTGGTCCTTGTTCTGTAGATTAGGATCTATAGCCCGTCCATCCGTTTTGAGCGGATCACTCTCTCAATGTGGCCCTTCCCGAGGTTTACCCCGAGGCGATTTCAACAGTTTTGTTAAGTCCTCTGAGAGGATGTGATTTATGGCTATACAATAGTATTTAATTTTCGTTCTCAAATCTGACATACTGCAAATTTGGAAGGTTGGGGTTTTGCATTGTGGCTCAGTGGTTTGACATTAAATGGCCAAGAAATCATAAACTCGGATATAAACTTCTAACCATTAAAGGTTTCATAGTTTGTGTCCAACCGACTTCCTTCAGTCCGGCTCCATGCAGTGAACTGTGTGGTGTTTCTTTGGGCACATTTCACAGTCACTTACCGTTTGGCTGCAGGAAGTCCGTGGTGCACTTCCTCCTGCTCTTTGTCACAAGGCTTTACCTGTCTGACACTGACATGACTGCAGCAGGAAGCACACACCGCCGCACAGAGCAGCTAACGTTACATAAACCAGTAGTGCTTATATCTATAGGTGAACTAGTTTTAGAATAATAATGTATAATGGAATCAATAGAATCAGTAAAATGTATAGCTCCAAGTCAAAGGCATCTGAAAGTTCTCAGAATCTGGGATGAATTTGACCCAATACTACATTTTGGACTGTTCGAAAATTAGTTTTGAAAAGATAATTTACACAGCGGATGTTTTTGCAGGAAATTTTGATAAAGAAGTTGAAGAAAAAAATAATAAAGGGTCTCTATTTGACCAGATTTCATTTGTACGGCGCGGGATGAGAGCACTTTTTGAGGAGGAGAATTCGTCAATAATTAACCCTCGTTATGCAATAGTCCCAGTTACAAATGCTCTCCCAATTTCTTCTTGTCTTTTCTCGAGTGTTCCTGTTCTTCTGCTTCTCAATCTCTGAAATCTCCAATCTCTGTGGTCAGTGGAACGGTAGCCACCAGCAACAAATATGCTTTTCGCTCACATGGCTGAGTCCAATTCCCCTTCTCTCTGCTGTGTTTTTTTGCTCACAGAGGCTGCACTGGCCCAAAGCACCTTCTCATTTCACTTCAGTCTTCAGTAAAACAAAGGCACATTTTCCGTTCAGCCCTTCTGTAAACAGTACTATTACATCCTGTTATTACATATTTTTACGTACTGTAATTTCCGGAAAATAAGCCGCTACTCTTTTCTAGTCCTTAAAACCCTGCGGCTTGCATAGCTATGCGGCAAAATTAGCTCTACTCTAAATTAGCCATCTGACTTTTGACAGTTACCAAAGTTACTTGTGGTCATGTCAAATGAACGCAACCAAATGATTTAAACCTTGAGACGACAGAGTTACGGGGCCTGCAACCTATATAGACACGGAAAGAACATGCAAACGCCACTCAGAGAGGCCCTGTTTGAAGCCAGGAGGGCGACAGTAGCTCAGTTGGTAGAGCATTGGCCTTCAGGCCTGAAGGTCGTGGGTTCATTTCCCACCTCTACACCTTCTCCACCGACTCCCACTGATGACTGCTGTTGTTGTGTCCTTGGGCAAGACACTTAACCCCACTTTTCCCAAAGCCCCCGCTGAAAGATCAAGGCTATGCTCACACTCAGAGAGCAGCCGTCCTCCTGTGGACTCACCACCTGCAGAGGGTCAGTGAGGGGCTGGTGCTATGAGACTTGGGTGGCATCTCTGACTGCCACCCCCCTGACCCAGAAATGGATTAAAGGGTAGAAAATGGATGGATGGATGGATGTTTGAAGCCAGGACGTTCTTTCTGAGAAGCGAGAGAGCTAAGACGATTGTTTGTGGATGTTTTTCTATTAAACAATTATTTTTCTATTCATTGTTGGCATCTCTAGCATAGCTTTGGAAATTTGCATGATTCATTTCAATTTGAGTGAGTAGGGAAATGACAAAATCAAACATTAGTTATAAATTCGACCATTTTCATGAGCTAGGTTTCAATACTCGCTTGTTTGAATGGAAACTGAACAAAGAAGAGAGCATCAGTGAGATATTTTAAAATCCGACCATGTCCACGGATTATTTATTTAGTCCTTGTTCCATGAATGGTCTCATGAACTCCTCAACTCGAAACAAGTGGTGCTTTTAAAATCAAAACAAAGAGCATTCCATTGTGTGCATGTTTAATTACTGGTAGAATT